TTTTTACCATCATTTTTGTTGTTTTTTTTTTTTTTTTTTTTTCTTGGCTTTTGTTTTAAAATTATTTTTTAAGTATATTTTTCACATGTTTTTATATTTTTGTTTTCACAAACAAATTGGTTTGTTTGAAAAAACCTTTAAAATATTTTAAAATTACTTTAGTTTTTAAAATTATAATTCAATATGTAAATATATCAAAAATGTTTTATTTTAAGTATTTATAATAAAATAAAATTTAAAAACAGCATCAAAAGTGATTTTTATATTTGCTTAGAAAAAGTAGAAAATAATAGATCACTAAACTCAATTCTAAACATTAATATATATAGGAAAGGAAAGTATAATGCTAACAATCTCAGTGTTGAGGATTATTAAAAAGCTTTTACTTTAGTATAATGGCTAACAATCTCAGTGTTGAGGATTATTAAAAAGCTTTGAGGAAAACTCTAATATGATTATATCTCTGAATGACAAAGCTTCAAGTAGAATATATTTAGACATTTACTAAAAAAAATTACATTTTGATGGTCTAATTAGTATTTGATGGGGTTCAAAAGCTCATATTGAGTTTTTTTTATATATATAATTTTAAACTATATAGATATTACAAATGCATGGAGGGATCCATGTGGACTAATAGAATGTATTTACTATTGTTTTTAATGTTTTTTCCAACATAATGGCTTTTGGCATGGTAAGTTTCTCAAGTAAAATAAACATGCACATTTTTTTGCTAGTATTTTGCATTATTCATTTAAGAAAGTGTTGCTTTACTTCATTAGGATTTTAGCAATAGATCAACTTAGAACTGACAGAAAATTGAGTGTTGTTTTATCTAATCTCTTTGATTATGAGGTAATTGCATCATGTGCATCACTTGTCTCATCCATCCATGCCATCTTTGGTTTGTGATTCTAAACATTTTAATAAAAATAAAAAAATCTAACTTCTCAATCATCCTATTTGGATTGATTGAGTGAGATAAGTGATGGCACCTAACTACACTTATTCTAAAAATTAAAGAGAATTTGAATTGATGGTGTATATGCTGGATCATTCTAGTGAACCCATGCCTGGTTTAATCCTCTTAATGGTATGAGAGAATTTGGGAGAAATTTGTTTTTTAGATAGATTTGGTTAATTTACTAGAGTTGTTGTGCAGAGGACTATTGTTTATTTAGGGGCTATTTGGCGGAGTGAATTTTTGGTGTGTCATAATTCTTCTGTAGAAATTTGAGAAACTTATATGTTTGGCTTTAAGAATTACAAATACAATGTGAAGTGTGAATGAATTTGAAGTTTACACAATAGTTCATTTTGAGTGAATTGCAGCTGATTTAGCCGAATTTGAATGACACCAATTTATCTAAAATGCTATCAACAAGCCATCGACGCCCGCCCCAGCCCGCCACCTCCAGCAGTCGGTCGTTTACCACTGCTGATAGCAATCTGTTGTCGCCACCGGTCGCTGACTACCATAGCTAGTGGTCGTTGCAGATAGTTTGTTGCCGCCGATCGTCCTCCGCACCACCCACCAGCCCACAGTTGTCAGCCATCTGCCAGTCCCCTCGCCAAGGCTAAACTAAAAAAAATATATTTTAATATATATTATTTTCAATAGACCAAATAAAAAATTATATAAAATCTTATGTTTATTTTACAATGAATCAAATAAATTGAGAGTATAACCATAGTAACATTGCATTTAATTTCCAGCAAACCAAATAGCCCCTTAGATTTGGGTTGAATACTTGCTATAGATGAAGGCCAAATAGTTGGTTACCTCCCATGTTGACGAAAAATTATTGCATACATACACCGCATACAGATGCATGCGGTGTCCGATACTAACCGTAGATCACAGTGATCTACGGTCAGGATATATTTCGGTGGGCCCCACTCTAATTTTTTTTTTCAAAAAAATTTTGATTGCAACTTAACCGTAGATCACCGTGATCTACGATTAGGATCGGACACCGCATACATCTCTGCATGCGGTGTATGTATGCAATAATTTTTTCATGTTGACAGGCGAGTACTCTCAATTAAAAAGGGCACCGAAGCTTAAATTTATTCCTTGAGATTTGAATTTTGCTTGAAAGAGTACATTTTAATGGGGATGGAATTAAACTCAATTAAAGTCTTTTTAATTATGTCATATTAAGCTTAAAAGTAATGTGATCTGCAAATGCGAGCATTGAGTCATGACATATTGTGAATAAATTTACATTCATATGTATTTTTATATTTAACACCCAAAGTTTTGATCTTTACCTTTACGAAACAAATGCGGATGCCGACCTACTCGCCAACTCCCGGCGGCGCCGGAGCATGATCACCGTCTCCGACCAACTCGCTGCGACCAACATCCGCCGCGTTCTTCAGCTCCTCCACGACCGCGCCGCTCGCCGCCGTCTCCCCGAAATCCT